TCTTGGGCCGTCTTGGAGCGATCTTCCCACTCCGTGCCCAGTGGCACGGTGGCGGACCAACTGTTGGCGAGACTGCACTGCTGCAGCGAGCGCCTCGAGGCATGAGCCATCGAGGCCCCGCTGCACAAAGTTTCATTGACTCCTCGAGGTTTGGCTGCATGCGCCCGTCCCCTTGGAGGCCGGGGGCCCTCTTTGTGTGGTGAAAGAAATCGTTGCGCGTCGCGCGTGGTGTGTGTGTGTGTTGTGTGTGTGTGTTGTGTGGGCGTTGTGTGTTGTGTGTTGTGTGTTGTGTGTTGTGTGTGTTGTGTGTTGTGTGTGTGTGTGTGTTGTGTGTGTTGTGTGTGTGTGTTGTGTGTGCGTGTGTGTGTGTGTGTGCGTGTGTGGGGGTGGGGTGGGGGTGGGGGTGGGGGTGGGGGTGGGTGGTGGGGTGTGGTGTGCGTGTGCGTGTGCGTGTGCGTGCGTGTGCGTGCGTGTGCGTGTGCCGTGCGTGTGCGGGCGCGCGTGTGCGGTGTGCGTGTGCGTGCGCGTGCGCGTGCGCGTGTGCGTGCGTGTGCGCGTGTGCGCGTGCGCGTGCGTGCGTGGCGTGTGCGTGTGCGTGGTCGTGTTGCGTTGCGTGTGCGTGTGCGTGTCGTGTGCGTGTGCGTGTGCGCGTGTGCGTGTGCGTGTGCGTGTGTGCGTGCGTGTGCGTGTGCGTGTGCGTGTGCGTGTGCGTGTGCGTTTGCGAGTGCGTGTGCGTGTTCGTGTGCGTGTGCGTGTGCGTGTGTGTGTATGTGTGTGTGTGTGCGTGCGTGTGTGTGTGTGTGTGTGTGTGTGCGTGTGTCTGTGTGCCTGTGTGTATGTGTGTCTCTGTGTATGTGTGTCTCTGTGTCTCCTGTGTCTCTGTGTGTATGACGAATGGGGTTGCGTTGCAACGAGGCCTGAAGTCGTGTGATTATGTCTTGGGCCGAGGTCACATCATGAGCGGAGCAGTCCGAACGCCGTTGACCAACTCGAACAACACACACCCATACCCAGAAGGGGAGTGGAGGGGGCTATGCGTGGGTGTTGTCGGATGGGGGTCCCCGCTCGAGCGGGGGCCTTCCACGGGGTCCGACAACCCGCACCCATACGCATAGCCAGTCCTCCTCTCGCCGACCCCACACATGGGTATGGGTGTGTGTTGACTGTTCGTCAACAGTGGTTACCTCCGGTGCGCGCCCTCCGCCTCCGACGCACTGTCGCCCCGCTGCCAGACGACATGGGCCTCGGCAAGACCGTCATGTGCCTCGCTCCGCCGCGTCGCGTGCGCGGGGCCGGGCACCCAGTTGTCAAAAGCTGCGCGATTTTTGGGATGCCCGAAATGGGCACGGAACAACAGAGTACGATGCCCAACAACAAATGCTATCCAAAGCCAACAGCGGCCGTTGTTGGGTGCGCGGCCTTCTGTCTTGAATGGACAACGACCGCGGGAACGCCGACAACAAACCCTGTTCAGAATGAACAAGAATTGCTGTTAGACTGTGTACCCATTGTTTCTGTACCAAAGTCGATCGTCCTGAACTATGGCCTGGCCGAAGGCGTCGATCCAAACAGAGATGTCTCCGATTCGCCTCGCCCCTGAGAACGCTCATAAGCACATCTTGGAACGCACTTCGGGCAGTCTTGGGGGCCTCTTGGGCCCCTCTCGAGGCTCTCTTTGGTAAATGTTTGGCCATGTTGAGGCCTCGGAAGCGACAAGGCGAGAACGTACAAATCATTCAGTCTCCCTACGTTTAGAAGGATGTGGGCCTTTGGGGGAGGTATGTGGGGGATTCCGAGAGCATTTGCAACCATCTTGTGATTTCCTGTCGAAGCCATGTGGAGGCACGATGGAGGCCAATTTGAACTAATTATCCTTGGCCATCTCGAGCACTTTTGGAGGCCATCTTGGAGCATCGGCGGCCTTCGTGGATCTGGGGCCATCGTGGGAGCTCTAATTCCTTGCGACTGGGCCCGAACAAAACCTCCGAAGGGCCAGAGGGCTTTGGAAGAGGAAGGACAAATTTTGTTAGACCACCTACGCCCAGAGGTTTCGTGAGAGCCTCCCCCCTCTGCCCCCCATCTTGTCCCAATTATCCTCGTCAGCCCCCTCGTCCTCCTCTTTCTCTTATTTTATCCTCCTTATTTTCTTACTCGTCCTCCTCCTCCTCCTCCTCCTCCTCCTCCTCGACGTTGTTCCTCATGCCTCTCGTGCGCCTCGTCCTCTTCCTCCTCGTTGTCTCCCTCGTTCTCCTCCCAGTTTCCCTAGCTCCCGTTGGCCTGGCGCCTCCCTTCCCTCCTCCTGGCCCCTGGCCCCGAAAGCGACCGCCGCCCGGTCCAGCGTCGGTGCTCCGATCTGAGGAGGAAGAGGAGGAGGAGGAGGAGGAGGAGGAGGAGGAGGGGGAGGAGGAGGAGGAGGAGGGAGGAGGGGAGGAGGAGGAGGAGGAGGGGGAGGAGGAGGAGGAGGAGGAGGAGGAGGAGGAAGAAGAAGAGGAAGAAGAAGAGGAAGAAGAAGAGGAAGAAGAAGAGGAACAAGAGGAAGAAGAAGAGGACGAAGAAGAGGAAGAATAATAATAATAAGAAGAAGAAGAAGAACAGGAGGAGGAGGAGGAGGAGGAGGAGGGGGATAGCTGGCGCGGCGCAGGGTGGCGCACCCCGCCCGCACTGGGACTTCGTTGGGGGGCCCTCGGGAACTCGCGGGGGCGGCTCGCGCGGCCGGCGGGCCCCAGACCTCCAGGGGAGTGAAGGGAAGGGTTGGGAGGGGCGTCGCGAGACAGGGGAGAGCCTGGTGATCGTTGTCTTGTTCCTTGTTTTGCCGGTCGGCGCGGGCCCCTCGCACCCCCCCTCCCCGCCCCTGTGGAGTAGATGTTGGCCGATTTTCTGGCGCCTGTTTCGAGCAGGTGGAGCCCCTCCCCCACAGGACGCACTGTTGCAAACAAGCGCGCTGAGCAGAGTTCCGGAGCGAGACCCCTCCCTCCCCCCCCCCCCGCTTTCCGCCCAATGTCGGAACGCCGAAGAGGAAAACGCTCACCTGGGTGACACTCCCGGGGGCGCGGCGGTGGTCGCGCGTCGCGGCCTCGGGCAGGGAGCAGTCTTTCTCCGAGGTGGCATCGCGAAGGTGCGACGATGACAGCGGGGTGCGATGCGCGAAGACGAGTGGCCCAGGGGAGGGAGGAGGATCGAGGGTGGAGGTTTTGTCGGGGGTGGACAGCCCTCCTACCCTGACACGTCGATTAGCGAATCGGCTGTTTTCGGTTTGCGGGAGGGCGTCGCGGCCGTCATTTTTGAAGGTCCAGGTCCGTCGGTTTCGGTCCCAGGCCGTTTTCACTAAAGAGTGGTTTACACGCCGCTCGTTGAAAGTAGGTATTTTTGGATTCCCAAATCCCAATCTACTTCAAGCGCCTTCCTAGTTCAAGAATCGACACGCTTTTGCTGTGTTTTGTTATTTCCTGGGGGGGCCTGGACCCAATCAACTGAATCCGCCTTCCTACTTCATGTTTTTACATACTTCTTCCGACCGACGTGTACTAAAGGGAAGGTTTGTCCACCGCCGGTTTGGGACACTTTGGCCTTGGCTTGGGCCTCGGCAGGCTTCGCGGCCTCGGGGGCACTCTGGAGACTCCTCCAGAGGCGGGAGGGGGAGGAGAAGGAAGCGGGGGGGAGGAGGGGCAAGTCACGGAGACTGTGACAACGAGAATGTCCAGTCACGAGGTGGCACAAACGCCTTACACACCTGGGAGGAGGTGTTCCTCGCATGCCCCTGTCGGGCCTCCTCCTCCTCGGCCTTGCTCAGGACATTGAGCGAGAGACCGCGGTGGGGTCGCCTCAAATGCTTAACCCCTGTAGGTGTGGCGTTCCACTTGCACAGGGAAGACAATTAATTGGTCCGCTTGCTGGCGAGAGAACAGACCCGACAGTACCAGAGGTCGAGCTTAGTGCAGAGGTTCATACTGTGAGGTGTTGTGGGCACAGGTGAGGGAGGTGAAAGGGAGGGAAGGAGGGGCGGATTGCGGCAGCTCGCCGGGCGAGGAGGAGAGAAGGGCGACGGACGAGAGAGGAGGGACCAGGGAGGACGGAGGAGGAAAGAACGAGGGGGGATGAGCTGAATCGAACCATGTTTTGGGCAAGGACCTGCAGGTTCTCCCCAGTCTTGTCAGAGATCCTCGCGGCCAGTAGCTCTCTGCTGGCAGCGTTCTTGCTTGGGGGCGATGGCAGGCGCCTCGCCGTGGAAACCGCTACAACTCAGACACAACACCCCACACCGACACTGAGGAGGAGGAGGAGGAGGAGGAGGAGGAGGAGGAGGGCTGGGGGGGGGGGGGGGCATGCCAAATGAGGCGATGGCTGGGCTGGGGCGTGGGAAAGGCACTGGTGGGGTGCGGGGAGGGGCCGCGACCCTACGACGACGCCAACAAAATCAACGGCTCTGCGGCTGGGGCGGAACTGATTGGGGCGCATCGGAGCGGGCCACGACACGACTACAGCAGAGCAACAGATTCTCAGGGCGGGCCACGACGACACGACGACGGCCCACGACAGGACGTCGACGCGAGAAGAATGGGCTCCGAACTCTAGATGGTTTACATGCGTGCGAAAAGATATCCAGCTGTCTGTGACAGGCCTCGCCACCGTGCCTGTGCTACAGCGCAGCAGGGAGGCGACTGATTGCAAACACAACGCAATTCCAACGGCTGGCCTGAGCTCGGACGAGTCGTTGATTCGACCTCGTCCTCGTCCGCGCGGTAGGGGGGAGGTCGAGTTCATGCCCCACTGCAGTCACGCGAGCGGTCTGAGTCTGAAGTAAGGCGGCCCGTGAAGTAGACCTCAATGTCGCCCGCTCTGTATGGAGGAGGAGGAGGAGGAGGAGGAAGGCCTAGAACATGAAGACAATGAGGTGAAGACCTCTTGGGGGCTCTCTTAGAGCCTTCTGGGAGCTTCCAGGGGGGGGCCTCTTTGGGGGCCTCTTTGGGGGCCTCTTTGGGGGCCTCTTGGGGCCTCTTTGGCCGCCTTACAGGGGCCCTTGGCCCGTCTGGCGCATTCGGAGGCCGTATTGGGGGCCCCTCTGGGCCATCTCGGTGCCCTCTTCGAGCGTTTTAGGGTCGTCTCGGGGCACTGTTGTCGCAGGCCTAGAGGTTGACACCAAAACCAATATCGGCGGTGTGTCTCCACCGAGGGAAGAAGATCCCGATCTCGGTGATGGTGATAATATTCTGGCTTCCAAGGTGACCGAACTATTACCACCATCACCGAAATCGAGGATCATCTTCCCCCTGCGGAGGCAACCCCCTGTGTTGGTGTTGGTGCCAATGTCTAGGCCTCCCATATTGGGAAGCGCTTGGGCAATGTTGGGTTCCTCTGGGGCCGACTTGGGGCCCTCGTTGGGGCCCTCACGGGATGTTTTCGCGTTACATTGGAGGTGTCTTGGGCCGTTTTGGGTGGTCGGGAACCCAAACAGGTGAGAACCCAAACCATCGAATACTTGCACGCATGGAGGCGAATGCCATAGCCCCCGCAATTGCAGATAAGATTGAGGGAGGTCGCATGCAGTTTGCGAGGCTCCAAAGCGCAAGTGCAGAAGCCAGCCGCGGGTGCCGATGTCTGTGACACAGCTAGCCCGCCCCAGGTCCTTTCTGTTGGTCTTGTAATACCGTGATTGTGGTCGCGGGATAGGTCACTGTGTGGGTCGCGGGGCGGGGGAGATAAACCATAACGACAATTCGTATTGTCACCCTACTCCAGACACGCACCCAGGGACAGCATCGTTCGGCCCCATCACTATGATAATCCTCATCCTTCCTTCCCTTCCTCCCTCGTCATAAAGTTCCCGAGGCCTTTCAAGGATCTCATGGCAGCGCAACTCTTCCAACAACACCTCCAATACGACCATCCTGGTTTCGGAGAGGAGGAGGAGGAGGAGGGAGACAAGGAACGAGGAGGAGGAGGAGGAGGAGGAGGAGGAGGAGAGTGGAGAGGTGGGAGGGGGACGGGGGGAGAGGGAGGAGGAGGAAGAGGGACTCCTTTTCCCCCTCCCCTCTCCCCCGCAGGTGCTTGGCCCTGCTGTCCCTGGACCTCCCCTCGGACCTGCCCAGCGCCCGCTCCGCTGCGCCCTCGCTGCGGGCCCTGGAGTGCGCGCAGCAGGATCCCCCCTCTTTCGCCTGGCACATCGGGCCCGGCCGAGGGCGGGACGGGAGGGGGCGAGGGAGGGTCGGGGGCGGCAAAGAGAGGGGGGTGACGACCAGGGGGGGGGGATATCATGGCGGGGGCCATGATGTTTCCCAGATTTCAGGGCGCCGCTTCTTGTTTCATGACGTCCTGGCCCCCCGCTGGGCCGCGCCGCTGGGCCGCGCACATATCGCCGGTCATGATTTGCACCCCCCCCTCTTGGACGCCCCCCTCTTGGCCGCTCCCGAGAGGAACGGGGGCGTCCCAGATGGGGTCGGAGTATCAGGCGATCGCAAACATGGATCAAGGGGGCGTGGATTGGCGACGGGCCCCGCTTCCATGGGGAATCGCGGGTCTCCGCCGCTGAGCGAGGCGACACCAGCCGCATTTTGCGCGCCAGATCCATGGATACCTAATCCATGTTTGCGCGCCCGCGAGAGTAATTTGATGGGGTCGGAGGATCGCGCCGCGCCGCCGATCCATCGGCGATGCGGCTCAATGTGGAACCCGATGTGCTTCATGCCAACGTCGCCGATGCGTCGGCGACGTCGACGAGGCATCGCCGGTGCATCACCAATGCATCGCCGATGCATCGCCGATGCACCGGCGATGCGGCGCGATCCTCCGACCCCATCTACTCCGACCCCATCTGGGGGGCCTCTAGGGACGCTGGGGGCGTCCAAGAGTTGGGGACTGCGTGTGGTTACCCCGCTGCGACTGCAACCTCGCTGCCAGCTGGCCGCTCCGGCCCGCTCACCGGGGAGTTCTGCCGCTTCTGAGCGCTTACCCCCTCCTCCCCCCGCGCGGCCGCTCTCCCCTTCCTCTCGTTCGCTTCCACGCCGGACAATTTGCCAATCGGTGCCCCCGATTAATTAGCCCGACGCTGGTGCGGATCTCCTCCGCCTCGCCGCCGACGGAAAAACGTGGTTACAGTGGAGACCCATGCCAAGAAGCACCCCGCTTGCCTCCAGGGTACCCATAATTACCAGAAATCAATGGAAGTCCTGGGGTCTCAGAATTGGGTTTCTTGTGGAAGGTTTCTTGTGGTCGAGCTCCTACTGTACGCCTGGGTGTCGATCGGCGCCGTTCGGGCCCAGGGGCTCGCCACGTTGTGTCAAGCGTTTGGTGAGCCCCCGTCGGGGCGCGGCAGAGATCTCTGTCGAGGTCCTCGCCCGCCCCCCCAGGCGCGGTTTGCAAACCAAACCCTTTGCAATCCACACCCTCGTGGAGTCGCCGAAAGAGGAGCATCACGGCGAGGGGGGTGTTCGAGGTCTCTCGACGGTTTCGTCTGGATTCGGGCGCGTGGATGAGCTCCGTCGCCAAATTCGGCGGCGTTGGTGTCATGAACCCCAGTCCGTGGATCTGGCGCCGACGCGCCGAATACACGGATCTCGAATCCATGCTTCAGGGGGAGACAAAAAAGCGCACGGACACAGTGGATCGTCGATTCCCCCGAGAATACGGGAAAACGTGGGAAGCGGGGGAGAAGACGAAAATCCCCCCCCAAAAAAAATATGGGACAATGTGGGGCATCCTGGGACTTGTGCATACCTGTGTGTGTGTGTGTGCCCCTGGGCCCCCTCGGTGTTGGGGTGCGTCCAGGGCTCCCAGCGGCTCCTCGGCCTCGGGCTGCTCTCCGGCGGACTGCGCCTCGCCGCGGTCGCTGCTCTGCGGGCCCCGTCGCTGCGATGCGCCTGGCGCCCGCGGCAGTCGTGCAGGGCCTCGCCTCCTCCGCGGCGACGAGCCGGGCGAGGTGGAGGGGAGAGGAGCGCAGAGGACACAGTCGGGGCGCCGAAGACTTTTCGTTGGGGAGGGGCTCCGTGTTCCTTGGTTGTTTCACAGCTTGCCTTTGGCTTTCCTTTGGTTTTCCATGGGGGATCGAAGTTTAACTGATGGGAAGACGGGCCTCGTTCCTTCTTTAGGGTTCCTTAGGTGAACGTCCCGACTGTAGGAGAGGAGGGGAGGAGCGCGGCAGGGGAAGGGCAGGACCGAGCGAGGCTTCCAGAGCTGCTTCGGGAGGTTCCGGGAGCGCGCAGGTGCTCGGAGGTCTCTGAGGGCTGCCCGGGCGGGGCGAGGGAGAGGCAGGCGCCCCCAGGACGAAAACGTTGGCCAGCACGGTATTCTGGGCAATGGGCCTTTGGAGCTCCATGTCGGGCTCCAGGCTCGATGGGAAACAACCCACGACGCAAGCTCCGTGTCTAGGGGAACAAAAAGTGGCATAAAAGTAAAACTCGAAGGTCCGCGCAGATTTCTCAGATCGGCGCTGGGGCCCCCCGGCGCCGCCCCTGGCGCGCTCCGCGCGCCAGGGAGGGGGTTCAGCGCCGATCCGAGAAATCCGCGCGGACCTCCGAGTTTTTATGTTTATGTCACCGTTTGTCCCCCTCATATCGAAGCTGGGCTCATAGGCACCCGAGCCCCCCGCACTGAGCAAAGTCGGCACGACGCTCCGCGCGGATTTCTTGAGTCTGCGCTGGGGCCCCCTGGCGGCGCCTCCGGGCCGTCCCTGGCGAGCTCTGCGCGCCAGGGCGGGGGGTGCGGCGCAGATCCCCCAAAAACCGCGCGGAGCGCCAACAGTTTATGTTTATGCCGTTTGTTATTTCTAGGCGATAGGGAGAGGGAGGGGGGGCACCAGCGGAGGAGGGCCAAACCGTTGCTTCATCTTTCGTTCTGCCCTGCTTCTGGAGGCGGATCCTGCCTGCAGGAGCGCTGCTGTGGGCCTGGGAGAGGAGGGCCTCTGGCGCGCCAAGAGAGAGACCTGGGGGCACAGCGCGGGAGCCCCCTCCAGACGAAGAAACAGCTAACCCGTCAGGGCCCTGTAGTGAGCGTGTTTTTATTCATTCTTTTGCAGATCGGCGCGGGCCCCCAAGCTCCCCCTCTCCCCCCTCCATGGAGTGGACCTCGGCTGTTTTTTGGCGCCTGCTTCGAGCAGGCGGGGTCCCTCCCCCACAGGACGCACTGTCGCAAACGGTCGCGCCGAGCCTAGGTCCGGAGCCAGACCCCTCCCCTCCCCCCCCCCTTCCGCCAAATGTCGGAGCGCCGAGGCAAAAAACGCCCACAAGCCAGGACGCCTGCGAGCCAGGAGCGTGCCGAGTCCACCCGGAGGGAGCGACGTCCTGGAGAACGCCCCGACCCACGGCGGCAGGTTCCTCGGGCTCGCCAGCGTTTTGGCCTGCCAGAGGAAGCCCTCGTTCAGGGGCCCCTGGACCCAGGGTTAAGTCGGGCGTGTCCCCCTGCAGGAGGATTTTCGACGAAGAATAAACAATGGTCAAACAAATACCCCAAAAGTGTTCGAAAAATACCCAAAAGTAGTTCCCGTTCTATGTTTTGCCTATTTTTTGATACTCCTCCTGTAGAGGGACAGGCCCGACTTCTAAACCCAGGGCGGGGGGAGGGCTCCGTCCCAGGGTGTGGGCCAGTGTGTGCCGAGCACGTTGGCGGGGGCCCTGGTCGCGTGCCTCGGAGAGCCCCGGGGAGGTCCTCCGGCCACCCCTGTGGCGGGGAGCCCTCCTCCTGGCGAGCTGGTCCCTGGCAGGCGCACAGCTGTGATTCCAGAAGGGAAAGAGACACGCAGACACAATGAATCGTCGACCTCCAGGAAAAGATGGGGAACTATGGGAGGTGGGAGGAAGACAAAAAACCCAAACAATACTGGAAAACATGAGGAGTAGTTGAATAGTTTCATTTGTGTGTATTTTGTTTGTGTGTCCTAGGGCCCCTTCATCCTTGGCATGCGTACAACTGCTGTGCGCTCCGCATGTGGAGAGCGTGCCGCCCACGTGTCCTCGCGCCGGTCGGGTCCAGATAGCTCGCAAGCCACACCGCTTGCACCACGGCCTGCAGCGCACGCGTCTGCATCACACACTGTGCAGCACACAGGCTGCATCACAGGGGCTGAACGACCCGTATTGCCCCGCATGGGCTGCACATCCAGAGAGCAACAGCTCACCGGTCGGGGGTCCACGCTGGCAAGCGTTGTTTCCATGAGGCATGCCAGCTTGGCAACGACATCGGAACGAGGGCGGCCCGCGCAGTCAGGTCCGTTTCGGGCCGCACACACGTCAGTCGGTTCGGTGCGAAGGCATGTCGTTGCGCTTATGCTTCAGGAGGGAAAGCACACAGACACAGTGGATTGTCGATTCCCCTGGAGTTATGGGAAACTATGGGCAGTGTGGGGGGGGAAGACGAACATCCAGCAAGTGTGGGAAAAGATGGGGAATGCTGGGATGTGTGCGTGTGTTTCTTCGTGTGCCCCTGGGTCCCTTCGATGCCGTCCTTCTCCATGAGGTTTTCGACATACACGCCACGGCCAAGGATCCCAGTCGGGGCAGGGGAGGCCCCAGCCCGTCCGGCCCAGAGCGGGAGCCCAGGCCGAGGAGCACGAGGAGCGGGAGCACGAGGGAGGGAGGGGGAGAGGGCGGGAGAGCAGCGGCGAGAAGGAAGGGTCAGAAGGAGGAGGGCGAGGGGGGGAGGGCGGAGGAGGAGGAGGAGGAGGAGGAGGAGGAGGAGGAAGAAGAAGAGGAGGAGGAGGAGGAAGGGGAGGAAGAAGAGGAGGAAGAGGAGGAAGGGGGGGGGAGCCCAGGGCCCGTCGCCGCGAGGCCCAGCGGTGGCGCTGGTGCTGGCCCAGGGGGGGAAACAACAACAACAACAACAACAACAACAACAACAACAACAACAACAACAACAACAACAACAACGACGACGACGACGACGACGACGACGACGACGACGACAACAACAACACCAACCATAACCACAACCACAACCACAACGACGACGACAACAACAACATCAACGACAACAACAAACGCGTCAAACTTGCTCACGGCGGTCTTCGGTGGAGCTCCCTAAGAGGCCACGAAGCGTGTGAGGGGTGTGCAAAAGTCGGGAACGGACAAGAGGGGTGTGATGATTGGGGGGGATATCGTGGCGGGGGCCATGAAATCTTCCCAGATTTCATGGCGGTTCTTTTTATTTCAATGCGTTCCTAGCCCCCCCGTGGGCCGCGCACATGCCGGCAGGCATGATTTGCGCCGCCCCCCCTCTTGGACGCCCCCTTCCTGGCCGCCTCCCGATGAAGTGAGGGGGGTGACGGGAGTGCCGAACTGGCTGACATGCGGAGTGCAGAGGCAAGGGTGGGAGGAGGGAGGAGCGGGAGGAGGAGAGGAGAGGAGAGGAGAGGAGAGGAGAGGAGAGGAGAGGAGAGGAGAGGAGTGGGCGCGGGGACTGTCTCTTCAAAGCGAGGACCCAACACCACAGAATGGTTGGGACAAACACGTGTCAAACTTGCCCACGGCGGGCTTCTGCATTGGCTTGCCATTACGTCTGGATAGACAAACCTTGCCATCAGCGGGCGGCTGTCTTGGTAGAACAGAATTGACAGACTCAGGAAAGCGTATCACTACTATCCGCGTCTGTGGGGGCTGTGGTGTTTGAATATGACGCGTTACTGCCCAAAATGGGTGATGACCGACGATCTGGATGTACTCCAGTGTGGTCGACTCGAGTCGGTACCTCTCGCAATCATCATTCTAAGTGTGGGGAGCCGAGCTTTTCCAAAAACTACAGCTGCACTTAGCTCGAAGCCCCCTGCGACACGAGCGTACCGAACAGCAGGAGCCGCCAGCAGCATCTGGTGGCCTCCACGACTTCAACCCTGACGAAGGCCCCGGGGAACCTCGGGGGTACCGCGTGCAGCGCCGAAACCTCGCGCGGCGGGTGCATTGGGAACCTCGTTTCTTGTTTTATCGTGGGCGCGTTGCGGACATGCAACACCCGAGCTCGCTGGGAAGACTCGCCGGCCTCTCCGGGGTCGAGGGCCCCGCCTGAGAGGCCCAGCGCGCTTCGGCGGCCTCGTGTTCTGCCTCTTCCTGTCCTCCTCCTCATCAACGCCACGGGCTGGAGGGAGGGGTGGAGTGGGAAGTTGTTTGAGCACTGCATGTGGCCCGCCGACCCCAGCATCCGGAGGAGGAGAAAGACGAGCAGCAGAGCCATCAGCAGCAGGGGGATGGGAAAGATGCAGAGGAATGGGGAATCATCGAGCGGAGGAGGTGGAGGGAGGAGGAGGGAGGGGGAACGGGGAATGCTCTTGGTGCACTGCAGCGCCTTGCCAGCGCGGCTCTCCTCTTCCGCTCGCGTGACGGCGACTTGCGTGCCCGCAAGCAGGAGCTCTCGACCTCGTCCATGCCCAGCGGCGACGCAGGCGTGGGCGGCACCCTCGTGGTCGCCGCCTCGGCCGTCCTCCTCCTCCTCCTCCTCCTCCTCCTCCTCCTCCTCCTACTCCTACTCCTACTCCTACTCCTACTCCTACTCCTCCTCCTCCTCCTCCTCCTCCTCCTCCTCCG